TCAGAGTCATGGTTCTATGAGCCAAGGAATGCCACAGCCCACTAGCAAACTACCTGAGTTCGGGGTGAGGCATGGGCAGATTCTCCTTCCGGCCCTCAGAAGGAACAGCCCTGTCCACCCCTTCATCTCTGACATCCAGACTGCGAGACCGTCAATTTCTGTTGTTGAAGACACACAGAGCAGACTGTGATACTTCGTTATAGCAGCAGTGGATGACTCAGAAAGATAGTCTAACAAGAGACCCAGAACAAGTCGGCCTTCCAGAACCCAGAGCCCTCCAAGCCAGCTTCAGAGAATAAGAATGAAAGCTGTATTTCTCTCAGACTCTTAGAAAATGGTCTCCTGTTGATGACAGACTTTGAGAATTACTTTTCTTTGTACTCTTATATGGAAGACAGAGGCAACCTTGATGTGTGGGTGGGTCCTGTGAGCTAATGGCTAGTGGGCCAGCGTCATGGGGTAAGGCCTGATGTGGTTTCCACAGCCTGCAGTCAGCTCCGGGATGAGCCCACCTGTTGAGCCCATAGCAGTCATCCTGGACCACACGTACTAAATGGATCACAGTAAATACTCTTCTTTCTCAGAAAGAAGAGCAGCTTTCACACAGAAAATCTCTGCTACTTGTAAATCCCATCCCATGGATACTCTCGTATCTATAAATAACTTCCTTGGGTGGTGCTTAGGCTTCTACATCCTACAGATATGTCACATGGGTTAATGAAACCACTGGAAACTCACCTGACTTCTACAGAGCTCTTTCCATCTGCAAAACTGTGTTCGAGGGCCACCAAGTCTATCTCATCAATTTAATCTGAAGTAGCTCTTTCTGGAAAGGTTACTCATATTTCCAATAAAATACCCAACATTTCTGCCCTTCCTGCTATTTTCATTCGTTAGACAAATGTATTGAGCCTTAGAACCAAGGTGTGAAGATTTAGGTTGTGAAAAAATAAATAAATAAAAACAGCAATCCAGAAATAACATCTAACATTTATTTTATTTTATTTTTGGTACTGGGCATCAGCTAAGGACCTTACGCTTGCGAGGCAGGTGGCAGAACCACTGAGCTAAATCCCCTGCCCTGGCTAACATTTGTAAGGCATTCAAAGTGTACTGGCCTCTTAAATAACAAAGGGCTTTATAAAGGAGGGGTTTATCTCCATCAAGCCAATGAAAATAAAGGCCTGAGAGACAATGAACCTTGGAGCTGTGACCCACCCCATGCCAGGACCTCCTCCCCAGCAGTGGGTCACTTGAGAGTCTTGCCCAAGCAAAGGCGGCTCCAAGTTCTTGAGGGGACCACAGGCACCCAAATCTCCTCTCCCTTGGCCATTCCCAAGCTCACATCTCCCAAGGGAGCTGCAAAGCAGCCAGAGAGGAGCCCAAGGCAAGGAACTAACCCCCAGGATTGACTCTTCACTCAGAGCTGTGAAGGAAAATTATTTTTTCTTCTTTCTTTCTCTCTTTCTTTCTTTCTTTCCTTCTCTCGTCCTTCCTTCCTTCCTTCCTTCCTTCCTTTCCTTTTTACTTTCTTTCAAGTTGGCTTAGGTTTAAGGGGAAGACAGAGGGTCCAGGCTGAGATCAATACTGGGGCTTGGTAAAGGGTAAATCAGCACAGCCTGCCTGCATACTAGCAACTCCCTTCCCTGTTCAGGGCAGTCTGTGGGCACAGAAGGTGCTCACCTTGCTCCATGTTCTTTACACAAAACTCAGAGATTATCAAAGACCTTTGGAAAATTTGAAGAAGATGCCCTTGTTTAGCAACTACCATGAAAATGCTGTTTGATCAATTAATATTAAAACTGTGTATAATAAAGATTTATAGTAATAGTTCACTAATCTTAATATTTACTGAAATTTCTTTACTTATTCCAGAGAATGAATTATATATCATAGGCAAATATTATCACATCTTCAAATATCAGGTAACTTCAGGTGTGAATCATACAGTTGTTTAATAAAAAAAAATCATCAATCAGTCTTCATGTTCTTTTTTTTGATACTGGGGATTGAACTCTGGACCTTGTGCTTGCGAGACAGGCAGCGGAACCACTGAGCTAAATCCCCGGCCCTCAGTCTTCATGTTTGTAATGAAAAACATTAAATCTACATTCACTGAGTTCTTATATGAACATAATGATAAAAAATTTGAAATTCTGAGTTCTGATCATTTGAGTTATAAATTACTTAATATTAACTGTCTGGATCTGATAATGTCCCTGAAAAGTTATAAAATTTTGAAATACCTTTCCAAAGAGAAATAAAATTATTTTCATTTGTATTTTATTGTATTTCAATTGAACATAGTTACTGTATATCTGATATCATGGTATTCCTTTGTATATTAGCAGGATATATAATCAAGTACAGCATTCACCAACCATACATGCAAAGCAGTTTACTTGTAGATTGTTCTGGAAGTGATATTTGTTATTGATTCTTCTTCTGTATGTTTGGTACTAAAATTCTTCTTTGACTGACTCAATCTAAAATGAAATCATCCAATGGGAAAGTTTACAGCCTCTGCCAATTCATCACCTGAAAAACTACAATGTGCCTTTTTATGTGCTATGATCTGCAATGGCTCACTTTCTGGGCAACTTAACCAGTTAGTCCTTCCTGAAAAACCTTTCCCTTGTATGCAGGTGTCCCTCTGTGGTGGTAATGTGCAAGTCTCCGTTGTATTTACAGGTTTCTAAGGGTGCTGTTTTGCTTTTATATTATGTTGCTACTAAATGAATCTAAGATACTAAATAAATATAAACAGAAACTAAACACTAAACACCTGTTTCTATGGTGTTGATGCTAAGAAATTTATCATTTTGTTTACTCAGAATCTGGGTTAAAATTTTTAAATTATATATAAACTCTGATTGGCCAAAAAGAAGTAATTCTGCGGTTATGCCACTAATTACAATATTAGCAAATGAAATAAGGAGTTTGGGGTTCAGTTGGAAAGTTTAGTTGTAGAAGCTTTTGATTAAGTTGGTTTTCAATCTGTGGGGTCAGGTAGAATCCTCTTGGAGCAGCCACAATTCCCAGGGTCCTCTAGCTCATCCAAAGACACCACCCACCTTTGCTGTGTGGCACGTCTCTCCAGAATTCACATCCTGTGCCACCTCCTGAGGCTACAAAGTGGTGCCTGTCACCAGTGGCAAGTGGAGGACAAGAGCAAACCTTGTGCCTACAGCCCTCACCTGGAGACTCTAGTACTGGCCCCTCCCTGCCTGAAGGCACTGAACATCATTGACAGAAATGACATCAACGTGCTCCAGGCTACATGGGTCTCCTTCCTTGGACAGCGCCAGCATGTCGGACCTACAACAAAGACATACGTGTTTTATAGTGAGTGCTCACTGTGAGCTAAGCATATAATGTGGTAGTGTTCCATGGCCACACTGGTATTCCCCATTTAAGGATTTGGAAACAGAAACTAGGAAGGTGAAGTAAAATGCACACGGTAAATATCTTAGAGCAAACATTCTGAATCACTAGGCAATGCCACCTCCCATGCAGAAAACTTTGGGACCCTAATAATCGTATTCACTTAGAAACTAACTAAGGGAGGTTTGCAGGAGGCGGCACCTTGCTTACATCTGTGTTAGTATGATGAGTTTTACGGGTGTACTTTTAACTCTGGGTCTGCATGTGAGCACGGAGTCCCTATTTATGTCCTTATTTGTTTCTGCTGTGAAAGCACAAAACAAGGAAAATTCCTGTGGGGCCCTTTCCCACCACTTGTTCATACTATCCCTTTTAGGTGGCCCCTGACTGTAAATGAAACAAGAGGACTCCGTGGATCAGTAATGCTCTTTTCAGCTCCAAGCTTCTAGGAAGTGGGTGTGTAAAAGGCTACACTGCAGTCAAATTAGCGAGGAACTTAACTGAAATGAGTACAAACTTCCATTTGACCCTGTAAAAAAAGAAATCTAAAACAATAACTAGCATTCAAAGTGTTGGCCCTTTGACTACCTCACCCAGCTCCACCATCCCCAACAATTCTGTTTTATGGAAGTTCTGACCCTCCTTATTTGAAGAACCTGGTGGGTTATAGTCACATGCCCAGAGAAGCAGGGTACAAGTATAGCCCATGCCTGCTGATTCCACATCTGTGCTCCTGCTATGATACCTGGAAGCTTTTCCTCTGAACTACATTTTCCAGACTGGAATTATGTTCATGCCTTGACTATTAATAGTTAACTATGAAAAATTACAATCCCAACAACGTAAGGAATTGGTACGACCCAAATTAAAAAATCACAAAGTCAGGTAAAACTTCTTCCAGTGGGGGACTGAGGCCCTGACTATATCCCCACTCCAGCCCATACTCTGTATACTTTTCATATTTTTTGGACCTAGCCCTTTCTCAAGCCTAGTGGTCACCCCATATCAGAATGTCTCGATGACCTCCTACCTGGTCTTCACACATCCATCCAGTGTGGCCCCACTGTGAGCTACTCTGCTATTTGGCTCTGTAATTACTCAATGTCAGTGGTTACTTTGAAAACCTGAGGCTGATCATATTACTCCTCTGTTTATCAGTCCCCAGTAGCAACCCAGGATCTAAAGGACCAGGTCTCAAACATCATGCATGGTTTACAGGCTCGTGAACTTGAAGACATTTGTTTAAACTCTCTCAAAGTTAGAATATCTTAGAAATATCTGAAAAAAATGCCTCATGGGAAACACAGTTCACTTCCCTTCACTATGGCAACCAAGACAAAAGTTGCTTAGCTCAGGCTTTTCCTGCTTTCTTTGCCATCTTTGGCAGATTTTCCACACCATTAAGCAATCGTCCACATTTAAACTAAAATTAAAGATATCTTCCCTTCCTAAAACCTAATTATGCAACTTAACATTTTAGTCATCATTCCATACAGAAAAAGGTAAGGAGAAAAAAATAAGTATATATTTTACCTGTGATTTCTAGAACTTATGTAGAAACCCCTCAACTGCATCAAGAGAGCTAGAATTTGGAAGATTCAAAGCAAGGGACTGACCTTGCTGTGGGCTTGTTGCTCAGCTGCTGCCAAGGAGTGAACTTGGCCTCTTGTTTGTTGTGGTCAAAGGGAACTGTGATGTTTGCATTGTCACAGTAATACCTGTAGCAACAGCAAACACCTCACACAACTTCTAAGCCACACATTGGTAAAGAACAGCCCTGGCCTGGCATTCAAGATTGTTATCACCCATCAGGGAGCAGGGCTCTCTCACTCTGACAAAGAATGTTCAGACTACTGCATATGAGTTAGATGACAAGCAAATAATGTTTTTTTTCTTGTTCTTTTTCCAAACAAATCAGTCTCTCACAGCACATAATGTGGCATAGATACATGAAAATCTTTTACACTATTTTGAAGCAGATATTTTCAGGAGTTGTCTCGTGAAGTTGTTGCGGTTTAGTTGGACAGCATGAAGCGACAAGCAAACTGGTTCAATTCAACAAACACGTGTTCAGTGCCTGCTCCCTTTAAAATATGGGCTAGAGGGCCGGGGATTTAGCTCAGCGGCTCTGCCACCTGCCCTGCAAGTGCAAGGACCCGAGTTTGACGCCCAGTACCAAAATAAATAAATAAATAAAATATGGGCTAGCAAGCCAGGCATGGGGATGAATGCCTATAATCCAGCACTGAAAAGGCTGAGGAAGGAGGACTGATGCAAGTTCAAGGCCAACCTGGGCTACAAACTGAGTTCAAGGTCAGCCTGAACAACACAGTGAAACTCTGTTCAAAAACCAAAACAAAACTAAACTAAACAAAAAGAATGGGCTGGCAGAAAATAAAATTATGACTTCTAAGAGTTTACAAGGCAATTATTTTTTTATAGGGAGGCAACTATCAATAGGCTATATTTCATCTCCCTACTTTCATTTATTCTTCCAACAACTGCCTGAGTACCATTTCAGGCCAGGCAGAGCTGGTCCCTGAGGTATCCCAGGAATGTGGGGGGCCTCAAAAGGGAATAATGTATCAAATCACTCAATATCATCATCGCTTTTGGTCACCAGAACCACTGGATCAAGGTCCCATTTTTAGGGTGAAAACAGCTACCAGGAGATATACTCTCTCAAAGAATTTTGACATATACAACATCTTGTTGCTAACTATAGGCATTATATAGTAGATTGCTGAACTTACTCATCTTCATAACTGAAACTTGGAACGATATCTCCCCATTCGTCCTATCTCTACCACTCTGCTCTGGCAATCACCATTCTCGCTGCTTATGTGACTTGACTACTTTAGATCTCTTACACAACAGAACCATACAGTTTTTGTCCTTCTGTACCTGGCTGATTTCACTTGGCATAATATTCTCCAGGTTCATTCATGTTGCTGCAAATGGCAGAATTTTCTTCTTTTACAAGAAATAGTGGAGCACAGAAGAGTTGAGCCACTCCTAGTGCACAAGTGGAGGCTTCCAGGCCGCCTTACCAACCCGCCAGCACAGAGGAGGTGAGCCACTCCCAGTGCACAAGAGGAGGCTTCCGGGCTGCCGTACCACCCCCACCAGCACACAGGAGGTAAGCTGTTCCCAGCACACAAGAGGAAGCTTCTGGGTTGCCTTACCAACCTGCCAGCACAGAGAAGGTGAGCCACTCCCAGTGCACAAGAGAAGGCTTCCGCGACATCGTACCACCCTGCCAGCACAGAGGAGGTGAGCTTTGCAGGCGTCAACAGCACGCCACCCACCACCACCCACACCCCTGTCCCGTTGAAATGAGAAGACATGTAAGCAAGTTTCAAAACCAGACTTCCAGATCACCTCCAGCAACCCCAAAGGGAAATGAGATGAAACACTGTGACACTCAACCACCTGGACTCCCTGAACTGGCAACAAAAGAGGATCTGGGAAAAATGAAATCAGAAATAATTTCTCACATAACACAGATTGTGCCTATATTGCAAGACATGATTAATAAATCTAGAGAGGATACAGATGAGGATGAGGAACATGATGGAATCCCAACATAGGAAACAAATGGAATCCATACAATAGATGCAAACAGATTTCCAGGAGATTAAAAACTCCATCGAAAGTCTATGCAGCAGAATGAACCAACGTGAGAACAGAATTTCAGATATAGACGACAAGATTGCAATTAGTGACCAAGAAAAGAAAAATCTCTTTAAAATTGTAAGGGACTGGGGATGGGGATTTAGCTCAGTGATTCCACCACCTGCCTCACAAGCAGAAGGTCCCGAGTTAGATCCCTGGTATAAAAAACAAAAAACTGTAAGGAGCCATGAGAAATCAATCCAGCAGCTGCTAGATGATGCAAAGAAGAATAACATAAGATTGATCAGAGTCAATAAAGAAACAGGAGAGAGTGCAGATGACATAAAAAAAACTGTTCACAGAAGTGATGGCAGAAAACTTTTCAAGCAGGGGAAAAGAACTTGACATACAGATAAGCGAGGCATATAGGACTCCAACTAGCCTTGATCAAAAAAAATTTACATATAGGCATATAATAGTTCCAGAAACCCAACAGAAGAACAAAGTTCTACAAGCAGTTAGAGAAAAGAAACAAATCACATACAAAGGAAAGCCCATCAGAATCA